GCCAGTGCCTTTCCTTCACCTGCAGATGGAGCCCATCTCTTTCCACCTGGGTGAGGAGACCCTCTGCTACTCCAGGGGTAAACCTTAAAGAAGGTGTCTTGAAGAGCCCAAAGGACACTCACATGCTAAGGTGTCCGTTTTATGCATCTTTAAAATATTTTATTTAAGAAAAAAAATAGCCCTGCCCTGTCTTAGTGCCACTAATGGCCCAGTTCCATCCATTCTGAATGGAAAAGCAGAGACTGCCAGCACTTTCCTTGGTCTTCCCTTTGTCTCCCATGATGTGTTGTCCCCTCATCCCTCCCATCCATTTCACTGTGTGTGGATGGATAGCAGAGGGTACCACGCAGTCCTTGAGGCAGTCCTGTGTGATTCCATGATCAGTTGTTTTTGTATTCTAACTATCCTTCCAAACCAGCAGATGTTTGGAAATTAGGGAAAAAATTAAATTCTCATCAATGGTTGCTGTTATAGTTAAATCAATAAAGATCTTGAATATCAACTTGGTGTTTTAATTTTTAAAAAATATCAGGTGAAATCCTGCTAAGGTTATTTCACATTTCAGGAGTTTAAGCGGGGGCGGCGGGGGGGAATATGGGCAGAGGTAGTTGGCTGTTTATCTGTTAGTTCTCCACACTTGCAGAGCATGCACTTTGTCCATGTGGACCTGTGTATGCAGAGGAGATGGTGGGACTCTCAGGGAGCATGACCTGGGTCCTGTGCTCAGGAGCTTGGAGGCAAACATGTATATGCTGGCTGATGGCACCCAAGCATGTCCTTCTCTTAAGTACCAGCCCTGAGGAAGCCCAAACAACTTCCTTTCTCAGAAGAGGGGCTGCCTGTGCCCCCGGGAGCACTGGTTAGACGTCCATCATGCCTGGTATCTCAAACCAAGCTGTGCTGCATGAGCGTCAGATTCCCTCCTGTTACTAATCTAGCAGGTCTCATGTATTAGTCCGGAGAACAAGAATTCTTTGATGTGAACAGAGGTCCACAGAATAAAACTGGACTGGAGGAAGCTTTCCCATTGGAACTGTGTAGAGGTTTGGGGCACAGGCTTTGGAATCAGGCAGCTTCAGTTCCAGCTGTGCTGCTTAGTAGCTGAATTACCCAGCAGAATTCCTACTCTGCAAGCCTCAGTTTTCTCTAAACTAAGGTTAAGAAATAACTGTTTGGCCGGGCGCTATGGCTCACGCCTGTAATCTCAGCACTTTGGGAGGCCAAGGCAGGCGGATCACGAGGTCAGGAGATCGAGACCATCCTGGCTAACACAGTGAAACACCGTGTCTACTAAAAATACAAAAAAATTAGCCGGGCATGGTGGCGGGTGCCTGTAGTCCCAGCTACTCAGGAGGCTGAGGCAGGAGAATGGCGTTAACCTGGGAGGTGGAGCTTGCAGTGAGCTGAGATCGCGCCACTGCATTCCAGCCCAGGCGACAAGAGCAAGACTCTGTCTCAAAAAAAAAAAAAAAGTAACTTTTCCAGGTGGTTGTGAGGCCCAGTTGATGTCATAAAGAGCCCAGTGCCTAGTACACTCAGTTCAGTAAACAGCAGTTAAGGGACTCAAGCACAACCTGGTTGACACGGACACCCAAAGATTATTCAGCCCCCTCTCCCCTTCCCTCCAAGTGTGTAAGTTTAGGAGTGGAACAGGTTTGAGCACTGCAGCTACCACCTACTCATAGAACCTGTAGAAGAACTAAAGAATCTAAGGGAAGATGGGACCAAAACCTTAAAAGCCCTTTCCTACATCCTTTACTGTGCCCTAAAGGCAATTAGGATAGATAAGGATCTTACTGCTAATGAAAGGGAAGACTTTTTTTTTTTTTTTTTTTTTGAGACTGAATCTTGCTGTGTGTGTCGCTCAGGCTGGAGTGCAGTGGTGTGACCTCGGCTCACTGTAACCCCTGCTTCCCGGTTTCAAGTGATTCTCCTGCCTCAACCTCCTGAGTAGCTGGGATTACAGGCATGTGCTACCACACCCGGCTAATTTTTGTATTTTTAGTAGAGATGGGGTTTCACCATGTTGGTCAGGCTGGTCTCAAACTCCAGACCTCATGATCCGCCCGCCTCAGCCTCCCAAAGTGCTGGGATTACAGGCGTGAGCCACTGCGCTGGCCCAAAAAGACTTTTAAAGATGGAGACAAACCCCAGGTTAGGGGTGCTATCCCAAGGTCACAGCCACTCCCCACATCTCTATGGATCCCATGCTTCTGTTTCTTACAATGTTTCTAGTTTCTCCATGCTTACATACTGCCAGGCCCACCCACTTGCCCAGCCAAGGAGTGTAATGTGTCCAATTTTTCTCGCAACTGACTTGGCACTGCTTGAGAGCAAGTTAAAATAACTCTTGAATACTCTTAAAACCCTAGGTTCAGGCCAGGTGCAGTGGCTCACATCTGTAATCTCAACACGTTGGGAGGCCAAGACAGGACCATAGCTTGAGCCCAGAAGTTGGAGACCAGCCTTGGCAACATGGCGAGACCCTGTCTGTACAAAAAAAATCTAAAAAATTAGTTGAGTATGATGGTGCATGCTTGCAGTCCCACCTACTTGGGAGGCTGAGGTAGGAGGATTGCTTGAGTCCAGGATGGCAAGACTGCAGTGAGCCATGATTGTGCCACTGCACTCCAGTCTAGGTGACAGTGAGATCCTATCTCAAAACAACAGAAAACATCCCAGGTTCAGACAGGACACAATTCTCCTAAGTAGTATTTCCTGTGACTTACAGAGCCTTCAGCAAGCACATGGCCTAGAGCATGGAGCTATTCCCTAGGCTCCAGTAGGTAGGCTTTGCCCCATTTACTTTGTCCAGGCAACAGAATGACTCTGCTGCTGACGTAGCAAACACGGGGCTTTCAGCAGGGGTCAGCAAAACACAGAGTTTCACTACTTTGTGCACTACTTTTGTTTGACATGAGGCAATGCCCTGTCGTCAAGGGTTTGTTCTTGGAGTCAATAGAGCCGCTGACTGTAAACACTCCCACAAGCTGTAGCTACAAATAGCTCGACCTTTCGCTCTCTGGCACCAGCCATGTAAGAAAGTCCTGGGGTGATTTTCACTTCTAAGAACTAGTTCAGTAGTATAATTGGGTTCAAATTTTTGGTTCTAAAGGCTAAGGCTTGGATCCCAAGATAGGTGAGCACAAACCTCTAGTTGCTGTTAAGCAGTAAGTGCCCCTAGGGCTCAAGAGACCAGAGCTCAGCTCTTGGCCCTGCCACCCCTAGCTGTGTGGTCAGGCCCTGAGGTCTCACTGGGGTCTCGTTTAGGAATGGGGATCAGACAAGCTGACCTCACAAGTTTGCCCCTGCTCGGCTGTTCTGTACATGGTCAGATGCAGAATCCTGTTGTGATTCTGAATTGTTGGGTCTGGGCAGTCTATTTCTAGTCCAGGCAGTGAACAGCTGGATCAGCTTTGTTGTGGAATCAAGGCACTGAGGTTTCTCAAGCCCAGGCCTGGCTCTAGCCCCTTTCTGGGCCACGACTATGGTATTGACTCAACCAAAGCCTCAGTTGAGTTCGTCTGAGCTCAACAGGGTTCACAAATGATTGGAATCATTTTCTTAAGGCTATAGCGTAAGTGGGTAGGCTTCTTGGGAAAGCAGGATCTGGTAGATATACTGTGGGCTCACATTCCCAATCAAGTGGCCCCTTTGCTCCATGAAACTACAAAAAAAGTGCCTCTGTTTTGGCAATGTTCAATGAGATCAAGCTGTTAAGAGCAGAATTGCTTCTTTTGTTTGTTTTGTTTAAACAGAGACAGGTTCTCACTATGTTACCCAGGCTGGTCTTGAACTACTGGACTCAAGCGGTCTTTCCACCTCTGCCTCCCAAAGTGCTGGAATTATAGGCGTGAGCCACTGCACCCAGCCAGAATTGTTGCCTCTGAGGTCTTTTTACCCAGAAGATAACTGTGGTCAGGGGTTTTGGTGGGTAGAGCTGCCTCATTCAGGCTCCTTTTACTGTGCTGCCCATGTGGAACCTGAAATTAAGTCCGTCTTAGAACCCTGAGTAACAAAAGAGCTGATAAAGGTTATATTAAGGGCATATGGCAGGGACTGGGTTTAGCAGGCTTTATAAGCTTTAGAGGGAGATAGGGATAAGGCAGCCTTTCCTATTCAGTCTACAGCTTAAAGCTGATGGCTCTTCTGAGCCTGACGACAGACATTTAATATGAATGCGTTAGGATTCGCCAGTGTTCCTTTTTCTTTTTTTTCTTTTTTTTTTTGAGACGGAGTCTCGCTCTGTCGCCCAGGCTGGAGTGCGGTGGTGCGATCTCAGCTCACTGCAAGCTCCGCCTCCCGGGTTCACGGCATTCTCCTGCCTCAGTCTCCGGAATAGCTGGGACTATAGGCACCCTCTCCGCCACCACACCCAGCTCATTTTTTTGTATTTTTAGTAGAGACAGGGTTTCACCGTGTTAGCCGGGATGGTCTCGATCTCCTTACCTCGTGATCCGCCCGCCTCAGCCTCACAAAGTGCTGGGATTGCAGGCGTGAGCCACCGTGCCTGGCCCACACCAGCATTCCTTTTACAAGTGGAGTCTGGACAATGAATTGCTCACCTGAGGTCACATAGCTTCCAGTGGCTGAGCTGTGACCATAGAGCAAGTATCTTGCCACCCAGGGCAAGGCCTTCACCACTGCTGGATAGGAAGCTCAGAGGCCTCATTAATAGCACACGTTGAGAGATTGAGGTGAATTGTCACCAACTTTAATAGATTCAGGTTGTATCTGCCTAAGCAGACTGACATGGGGATGTCTGAAAGCTCCAGCTTCTGTAACCCAACATGGCCAGTCCTCTTGGATGAGTTCCTGCCTCTACCTTCACAGGCACCAGCTGGCCCAGGAGAACTAGACAATGGCTTTATTGTTGTACAGCTCATTAGCAGAAACCCACTCCAGTGAGCCTCTGGACAAGGCCAGTAGATTGCCACTGGCCAGCCAGAAAGCTGTGGGGCTCCCCCAACCCAGCCTGAGGCAATGAGAGTGACGGACTCTTTTTAATCTGTACAGCGATCCTTAATCTTTGGGGAGGGGCACAGGTCACACACAGACTACTTTGGAGAATACATGAAACCTATAGGTGACCTCATCCCACCTCCAGAATACATGCACATATGTCTCAACTTTCACATACAGTTTCAGGCGGTTCACAGGTTTTTTAAAAATCCAGTAGAGAACTCAACGCATTTGTGCTTTTCCTCGCCACTGTGTTTTCAGTAAAGAGAACATCCAGCAAGCCCCCTGCACGGGCTTCTTCCTCCCTCTTCCTGACAGCAGCCTCTGTGCTTGGCCAGACTCCACTGAGCCCCTTCATTTACAGAGTAGGCAGCCCTTCCTCTTCAGTTCCGGTGGGCAGAGCAACTTTGCCCCTCTCTCTTTCTCCTTACTGGATTAGATGGTTATCATGTCTTCCAGGGGCTTCCCGGTCTTCCAGAGTGCAGGTAAATCCAGTCTCCCTCCAGGATGTCATCAGAGGCACCCACATTCTTCCACGATCATGTCTTTATGGTGATCTAGGAGCACTCTGCCATTGTCCACATACAGCATGCTCAGCGGCTTGGTCTTCACTGGGGCGCAGCAAGTAGAAGGGACTCGGTGGGGCTGGTAACGTTTCAGCAGACTCTGTAAAGGAAAGGAAAGGAATGTCAATTCACATCCTGATGGGCAGGTCAGAATAGTAGTATTTCTGGGTAAAGAGTAAAAAAGTTATGGAGTTAAAGTCATTTCCTGAGTGCAAAAATAGAAGAAAATTATTTTCATGAAGGAATTAGCTTGCCAATATATCATCAACTCTAAAATCTAAACTAACTTTAGCTCTGTGCTTGTTTTGTGAAAACAGCCTTTAAACAGATTCAAGAAATCACATGTATCTGCGTAGAGTAGTAGCTAATTTTTCTTTTTAGTAGTAGCTAATTTTTATGTTCTCCTATTATTCTAATCTAAAGCAAATACTTTTTTTTTTTTTTCTTTTTTGAGATGGTCTTGCTCTGTTGCCCAGGCTGGGAGTGCAGTGATGTAATCACAGCTCACTGCATCCTCAACCTCCTGGGCTCAGGTGATCCTCCCACCTCAGCCTCTTGAGTAGCTGGGACTACAGGTGCATGCCACCAGGCCTGGCTAATTTTTGTATTTTTTGTAGAAATAGGGTTTCGGCATGTTGCCCAGGCTGGTCTTGACTTCCTGCGCTCAAGCGATCCACCCACCTCAGCCTCCCAAAATGTTGGAATTACAGGAGTGAGCCGCCATGCCCAGCTGTGAATACCAATTTTTAAAATATTCCAAGAAACTCATGGTTTAGTTATAGAAATATGAAGCAGAATAGTTAGTCATGTGGAAATTCTTATGGGATTTGCTGTCAGCCAGAGAAGGACAGAGAGAGTCAATAGGAGGAAAGGTAACAAGACCTTGGCATTTTGGAACCAGGCCCTGTCCCTGTGGTCTAGTAACATCTTTTTAGATCAGAGTGTCAGAGTTGGCAATTGGGACTGTCTGAGTCTTTGTGGTGCTGCAGGTGGGCGATGAAAATCAGCGGGCCTGGGTGAGGCTCAGAACAGGTCCTTGGAAGCTCTAGCGCCCCCGGTGACTCCTTGCATGACCTTAGCCCATGTGCTCACGCTCTCTAGAGACCCTGAACCCCGCCTGAGGCTTGGCATGGAGGACATACTGCAAGTCCAGGAGATTCTCATTCCAGACTTCATGGAGTAAAATGAAAACATTTTGGTCCCATATGACCTTTGACAGCAGGGCAGGGCCACCTATAACATCAGATCTACCATATTAGGTTCTATTTTCTGTTCTCTTCATCTTATTCTCTTTCCTAACTCACCAGCCGCGTTCTTCCTCTACCACCTGCTAGACCTTAGGCTGACTAGTGGCACCAAGTGGCAGCCTCTGGCCTTGTCTACTTCTTTTTCTTGTTTTTGAGACAGAATTTTGCTCTTGTTGCCCAGGCTGGAGTGCAATGGCATGATCTCGGCTCACTGCAACCTCCGCCTCCTAGGTTCAAGCGATTCTCCTGCTTCAGCCTCCCGAGTAGCTGGGATTACAGGCACGTGCCACAATACCTGGCTGATTTTTGTATTTTGTGTCACCATGCTGGTCAGTCTGGTCTCAAACTCCTAACCTCAGGTGATCCACCCACCTCGGCCTCCCAAAGTGCTGGGATTACAGGCATGTGCCACCGCACCTGGCCGGCCTTGTCTACTTCTGTAGAATGAGTAGTCAATTCTCAACCAAAATACTGTAGCTGAAACAGTGTGATTCCAACCATGGCCCCATAATGCAGCCAAACATGCCTGTTACCTACCAACTACTTTACATGTCATATGCATGTCATCTCATTAACCCTACAGCATCCCTATGAAATATGGCATTGCCCTCCTCATCTTACAGGTGGAAAAACTGAAGCTTGAGAGAATAAGCAACCTAATCAGTATCACACAGCTAATAAGGAGTCAAATGCAGGCCTGCCTATCCCCAAAGTCCAGATTCTTCCTTTCCTAGAATGTCAGGGCTAGGGAAGTGCTGAGACCCTCTGGTCTACCCCCACCCCCTAATTTTATGAAAGACAAGGATAAAGTCCCAGGGAAACAATGTGTTCAAGGCTACCTAATGACGCATGACCCCATACAGGCTTTATAAGGATGTTACACTCAGTCATCTCTACATCCCTGGCACCTAGCACAGGACCTGGCATATTGGAGATGCTTGAATAGCTGTGAATGCAGGAACACAGTCATTTAATAGCTAAGCTAGAGCCCTGTCCCCCAAGGCTGGCTTACTGCCTTCTCTTCCCCTCATGCCTGGCATCCCACCTGGATGTATGCATGGTTGGTTGGATGAAACTCCTCCCCGACAGGATTAGGACACTCGCCCTCGCAGCGATAGGCGTTGTACTGCTTGGGGTAGATGATCCAGGAGCCCCATCCAATCAGGTTGAAGTCCACCTGGAACTTGACTTTCCGACACAGTTGACTTCTGTCTGGCAAGTGATGTCGACGGTGCCTCTTGCCCCACTCCCAGGACAGCTGTCCCTCCTGGGCCCGCCAGGAGCTCTCAGCTTCCCACAGCAAGGTGGACCCACCCAGCCGTCTCTGCTCCTGCGAGAGGTTGGAGTAGAGCATAAGGAGCACATCGGTGGCAGGCGGTGTGGGGGGCTGCTGCCAGCACTCTCCAGCTACCCTGGACATCTGCTTCTCCAGGGTCCCAGGGCGCTTCAGCCACTTGGAGAGTGGCCTGGTCACCTCCAAGACCATGTTGCCCAAGGAAAAGGTGACCTGGGACAAAGTGACAGTGAACAGGTCCATCTGAAACCGCTCAAAGCAGCTGGCTGAAGCCTGCTCTGTGTCAGGCTTTGGCTGGTGGAAAATCTCAATGGCAAGTGAGCCCTCAGTGGGGAGGTCCACAGGGCTGGACAGCTGCAGCCGGAGCTCAGCCCATGCCAGATCCTCTTGTTGGCTCAGGAAGGAGAAGTCAAAAGCAAAGGTCCAGTTCTGCCCGTTCACCTCCACATCTGGGTAGAAGAAAACCAGGAAGGAAGCAGGGTGAGTGAGGGCCTCCCCCAGCCTCAGTCCGTGTCACAACCACCATAGCTCTTGCTGGAGGCCTTACCTTATATAGAATTACCTTTGAATTCTCACCCCAACCCTGTGAATTGGTAAGATTTTTGAGTCCCTTTTACAGATGAGGAAAACGGAGGCTCACAGTAGTTAAAAGACCTGACCAAGGTGTCATTCTTGGAAAGTGGCAGAGCCAAGAGTAAACCTGGATTTGCCCAACTGCCAAGCCCGGACTCCGAATCACTGTTCTTCCAGTCCCCCTTCCAAGATAACTTGCAAAGCCAGAGCACAGTCAGTAAAAATGTGATGAGTTGCATCTCCCCCTCCCCTCTCTCCTCTGGTACATAAAGTCTGACCAACATGGAGAAACCCCATCTCTATTAAAAATCCAAAATTAGATCGGTGTGGTGGTTTGCACCGGTAATCCCAGCTACTCGAGAGGCTGAGGTAGGAGAATCATTTGAACCCGGGAGGCAGAAGTTGCAGTGAGCCGAGACAGTGCCATTGCACTCCAGCCCGAGCAACAAGAGTGAAACTCTGTCTCAAAAAAAACAAAACAAAACACAAAAAAACAAGACAAAACAGAGTGGCCTGTTTTACAGACACATTGAGTTAAATGTGAATATCATAGAAAAGCTCAGAGCTCTCAGGGAGGCACAGGCAACAGAAGCCAAAGACTGGGCCGGGCTCAGTGGCTCACGCCTATAGTCCCAGCACTTTGGGAGTCCGAGGCAGGCGGATCACAAGGTCAGGAGATCGAGACTGTTTTGTGAACGATGAAACCCCGTCTCTACTGAAAATACAAAAAATTAGCCGGGTGTGGTGGCAGGCACCTGTAGTCCCAGCTACTTGGGAGGCTGAGGAGGGAGAATGGCGTGAACCCAGGAGGCGGAACTTACAGTGAGCTGAAATTGCGCCACTGCACTGCAGCCTGGGCGACAGAGCGAGACTCCATCTCAAAAAAAAAGGAGCCAAAGACTGGTCACCCTCTGCCCACTCCCCGGTTCCAAAGAGTTTTTGGCAACCTTACAAATAGGTTTCTAAAGGCTTTTTAGGCATGACTACTCACCTACAGGATGCTCGCCCATTCCTTTCCCAGGTCATTCACACACCTAGGGCACACAGCAATCGCATGCACCCAGAAGCTTCCAGAAGGCTGAAAGTGGGAGTTGCCCCATTACAATGCAAAGTGGATTATTTCCCAAAGAAATTCACTTTCTCTCTGACCAAAGATGCTCTATGAGACAATAGATGAATAAACTGTTAGATGCTCAGACTGGACCTACCTCAGAGATCATCACCCGGAAGACACACACACCCAGCCCTGTTCCACTCACCCAAAACAACCAAACCCAAACTGGATGACAAGGAGTAGGGGAGCACACTCCATTTATTCTGGTCCTGGATTGATTTTCCCTGATGTCTGCGAATAGCACAGATTTGTGGATTTTCAGGTCACTTAATAGTGATGCCGGGCGCGGTGGCTCACGCCTGTAATCCCAGCACTTTGGGAGACCAAGGCGGGTGGATCACCTGAGGTCGGGAGTTTGAAACCAGACTGACCAACATGGAGAAACTCCGTCTCTACTAAAAATACAAAATTAGCCAGGTGTGGTGGCTCACACCTGTAATCCCAGCTACCCGGGAAGGCTGAGGCAGGAGAATTGCTTGAACCCAGGAGGTGGAGGTTGCGGTGAGCCGGGATCGCGCCACTGAACTCCAGCCTGGGCAACATCACGGAAACTCTGTCTCAAAAAAAAAAAAAAAGTGATGAACTTTCTTCAGGCTCAGTTTCCTCTTCTTTGCAATGGGAAAAATGCTGCACCACCCTCTCTGATTATCACAAGGACCCAGAGAAATAAAGAGGTTTGAAGGTTTATTGCTAAATAAAAGTCAGGGGTTATTCATTAGAAATAAGACAGGGCGTTTATAACTCTTTGTGAATAGACTCTGGAGGTAGTTATGATCTCTAATGTAGTTCTAGCCTGGCTGCATAACAGTTTGTTCATTGACTGTCTCCTAGAGGATCTTTGGTCAGACAGGAAGTGAATTTCTCTGGGAAATCCAGCTTGTATTGTAAAGGGGCCACTCCCAATCTCAAGCCTCATGGCAGCTTCTCCCACCCCATCTCCAGCAGCTCTTTTTCACTTAATTTCCACTTCCCTCCTCATTAGCACCTGTAGGAGGCAATAACCCACCCCTGACTAGCAGCTTTCCCCAGAAGTGTGGGGAGGAGGCTAACATTACTCAGTACCCACTGCTGCCACCTGTACCTGGAGGCTTGGGGCAGTGAGTTTAAAAACACTTTATCTTGGCCAGTTGCGGCGGCTCACGCCTATAATCAGCACTTTGGGAGGCTGAGGCGAGTAGATCACTTGAGGTCAGGAGTTCGAGACCAGCCTGATCAACATGGTGAAACCCTGTCTCTACTAAAAAAAATACAAAATTAGCCAGGCATGGTGGTGCATGCCTGTAATCCCAGCTACTTGAGAAGCTGAGGCAGGAGAATCCCTTGAACCCAGGAAGTGGACATTGCAGTGAACCGACATTGCGCCATTGCACTCCAGCCTGGGCAACAAAAAGCAAAAACTGTCTCAAAAAAAAAAACAAAAAAACCTCTTTTAGAAGAAGGCACTCCTGCTTAATGGTTAAGAGCAGGGGCCCCTGAGTCCCCCCATGATGGCTCAAATTCTGTCACTTGCTGTTTGACATTGGTCAGGCTACTTTCCTTCTCTGAGCCTCAGTTTCCCTCTCTTAAAAGGGAGATGGTAAGAGTAGCCACCTCACAGGGGTATTAGGATTAACTGAGATAATTCATGTTATGTGCTTTGCCCAGCACAACCAAAGTTCAATAAACACTGGCCATCATCAGCTGCCTCATTATTTCCCAGGTCCAAGAGTTAGAAACGAAGGTGTCTGGACAGGCCACAAGGGACCTGGACAGAAGTGCAAAGTCCCCTGTGAACAGGATGGACAGTGGGCAAGGCTGGGTAGGGAAGAGACCGCTCCTTCCTGCTGAAAGAAGTCTGTGACTCCACCACCCTTCCTGCCTTCTCCCACTGCTGCCAGGGTGCCCTGGGACAGGGCTGATAAGTTCTCTGGTTCATCTTAGAATAAGAGTTCTAACATTGTGGGTGTCACTGGTGCCTGACGCAAGGTAGGAATGTTCTCAGAAAAAACCAAACACATCCAAATACAACAAATGTGATTTTAAGGTGGGTATGAGGAAGGGGTTCATGGACACCCAAAAACCCATTCATATGCTGAATGCAGACTTAGCCACACAGATGCCCCTGATGTCCTCCTGGCCCACCTCCAGTTCTTTCTTTTTTCTTTTTTCTTTTTTTTTTTTTTGAGAGGAGTCTCACTCTGTGGCCAGGCTGGAATGCAGTGGTGCAATCTCGGCACACTGCGGCCTCCACCTCTTGGGTACAAGCGATTCTGCTGCCTCACCCTCCCGAGTAGCTGGGACTACAGGTGTGCACCACCATGCCCAGCTAATTTTTGTACTTTTAGTAGAGACGGGGTTTCATCATGTTGGGCGGGATGGTCTTGATCTCTTGACTTCATGATCCAACCGCCTTGGCCTCCCAAAGTGAGCCACTGCACCCGGCCCCACCTCCCGTTCTGAAGAAGAAAGTGGCTGGGCTCACACCCTTGGGTTATCTTCCTGTTAGGGACACCACCGTCCCCAGACCGGGCCGTGAGGCAGGGCTGTGAGGGCCTGACACTGAGTGCCCACTCTACATTTTCATAAATTATAAGGGTCGTTACCACCAGTGGCTTCCCGTGTGCCAAGTGTTTCACAGGCATTCTCTAAATCTCCTCACTGTTCCTCTCATCTCACCATTTGCAGATGAGAAAACTGAAGGTCCAAGGTGAAGGTTAAATAGCAACAGATACAGATGTAAACCCAATTGGACTCCAACATCCCTTTCATGCAACTGCGGTGCAGCTTATTCGAAATAAACCCAAGATGGAAGAAGTGGGGCTAGGACATCCCTTCTCCTCCAGTCTCCCTCCAGGAGGGCTCTTCCCACTGCTCTTAGAAAATGAGGCCGATTCCCAACGTAAATGTGCCGCATGCCGCTGTACACTCAAAAGCAGTGTTCAGGCCCGGTGCGGTGGCTCACTCTTGCCATTCCAACACTTTGAGAGGCCGAGGCAAGCGGATCACGAGGCCAGGAATTCGAGACCAACCTGGTCAGTATGGTGAAACCCTGTCTGTACTAAAAATATTTTTAAAAAAATAGCTGGGCGCGGTGGTGCGCGCCTGTAGTCTCAGTTACTCGGGAGGCTGAGGCAGGAGAATTGCTTGAACCTGGGAGGCGGAGGTTGCAGTGAGCCGAAATCGTGTCACTGCACCCCAGCCTGGGCAACAGAGGGAGACTCCGTCTCGAAGAAAAAACAAAAAACAAAAAACAGTGTTTAGCTGAAAGAGAGCAGTCTCCTAATTTACAGAAGGGAAGGCAGAAAGAGAACCCAAGACGCGCCAGGGACAACAGAGAATCAGGAAGCAGGATTTGAGGCCTAGAACCCAGTTTTCCAGATGCCTGTCCATCACCGCACACATCTCGAACTTTCCAGAAGGGAGTGAACTGGCAAAGCGCTCCCTCCCTTCTTCGACCCCTCCCATCCCCGGCCGCTTTTCGGTGGAGGGGCCGAGCAATCCAGCAAATTTCTCATTGCCCCGCCCCCGAGGGTGTCCCCTGGTCTGGCTGGTCCCCAGATGACCCTTCCGGAGAGGGTCACTGGCTGGCTGACCCCAGACGCGGGAGCGAGGAGCCCCCGGCACCAGGTCACAAGGGGCGGGCAGGCGGCAGGCCGGATCAGATTAGCCGATGTGGATTGCGCCCCAGCCCCGGGGAGAGCCGTCTGGCCCCCCCAGGCGGAGGGAGGCGCGGGCGGCCGCGACTGCCCAGGTGGCGGGATGTGGATTGAGGCGGGGAAGGGG